ATATATATATATATATATATATATATATATATATATATATATATATATACACATATATATATATATGTGCCAATAATTAGAAATGCCAGGATTTCATAAGATGAAGCTTATGAAACAAATCTGACTATTCTCTGATTTTTTTTTCCTAAAGAAAGAATTGCTTATGTGATGTCTTACCACTCAGTTAAGTATTATCTTTGATTTGGTGTTACTATTGGTAAAGTAACTAGAAGTGCTATATATGTTGGACAAAAAGCCATAAGACCCCCAGAGACAAAAATCCACCCTCTTTTATAGAAAACAAGTTTTCCAGATCTTTGTATTAGTCACTGAAATGGTGAGGTTGTTTGTCACCACAGAATAAAATAATTGATCTTAAATGTCAGATCTATCTGGCTGCCAAGGATAGACAATATCAAAGAAGAAAAAAGATGGAAGTAGCTAATCAATGAGGGACCTTGTAAAAAAGCCATGACCAGAAACATATGATGGTCTGCACTGGTTCTGGGTGTAAAGAGAGGCAATTGAAATTCAAATGGATTCTCATGGCAGAGTAAATAGATTTTGATAATGGATTACTGGTGAAGAGTGACAGACAAGACTGCCTCAAAGGTTTCTTCTCTGAACAAGGGAAATTGTGATTGCCATTTTCTAGGATAAAGATAATGCTGAAGTAACATGTTCATCATGAAGTAAGAAGGAGAGCTAAAATTTCTTCAATTGATATTTGGAGAGATTGAAGTGCCTATCAAACAGACAAGAAGAAGCATCTAACTCACATAATCCTCCATATCAGTAAGCAATAGTGTGAACCAATATCATTATGGTTAAAATACTTAAAAAGTTCTTTAACTCTCTATGCCTGTGTGTCTTTGTGTTTGTGTGTGCATCTACCAGTATGTGTGTAAGAGTGTTTGTGGCATGTATACGTGCATGTGTGTCTGTATGTCAGTGTAGTGTCTGTGTGTCTATATGAGCATGATTGTGTGTATTTTTGTGTATATATAAGTATTAGGAAAGGGAAAAGAAAGCAGTAAATCACTATCATCACAGATGGAAGTCATCCTTACACATTTACTGTATGTGTATGCATTTCCAGTACCATAATCTTGTTTCAATTAAGTTCAGTCTTCCACAGCATAGAAAACTTTTCTTTGGACCATGTCCATGTAAAGTACTTCAATGCTGCTACAGAAATGGGGCAACAGTATCTGCCCACAGTAAAAAGTTGTGCTTTTGATCTGTGACTTTTAGAAATATATAAGCCAAGTAAACCTAGTTATCTTCCTTTTCATTTTCACTTCAGAATATCCATGGTACCAGACTGCTGGGCCTGTGTGGTATTTTGTGTGGGTATTTTGTGTGTGATTCTGTGAGCAAACAGATAGATTCTAAAGCATTTCCGCACAGCCAGCATTGGGTCTGCCTGACATTACCAACTCAGGTCATGTCGTTTCCCCCATAATTTTCTACATTCATCCCCTGTTAGATAGGTTCCTATTAGGAGAGGTTAGTGGGGTTTTAAGCAGGCAGTGAATGAGGTGAGAGATGTGAATATATACCAGTCCTTTCTGGGAGCTGGAAAACTATAGAGCTAAATATTAAGACTTCTTTTTACTCCGATGAATAAGTCTGCTTTCTCTTCACTGTTTCAAAGGAGCTTGCCAAATGTGGTCATGTGTGTTTCCACACTCACCCGCATCTCCCCATACATGTCCAGGACCTCATCCCTTAGCTTAAACCGTTCTTCCTGTTCAATGTCTCTGAAGCTGAGGATTCGGGACCTATACTGTCGGAACTGGTGGATTTCTTCTGCTTTCTGCATAGATTGCTGCTTGTTCAGTTCGTCTGTTTGCAGCACAGCCTCATCAGTTACTTTCCTTGATGTAAAATGTCAGATGAATTAAGAAAGTCATTTGAGAGCTTAAGAGGAAATATTATTTCAGAATGCAAAGTAATATAGAATTGTGTTAACAGTGAGCTGATATGAATCAAACCAAACATGAAGAATGGTAGACTAAAACATTAACTTTTTAAAAATGGGTTAGGAACTGTATACTGACTCACTGATATTTTAATAAAGTATTATGAAGAATGTCAGTATATCATTAATAAATGTCAGTATATCATTTAATAAAGTATTATGAAGAATGTCAGACATATCATTAGATATGGGTACTGGTGTTCAAGACTATGAATATGTCATGGGTTTTACTTTTGAATTTCTTCATTTAGTAAGTACGACAATGTTCTTAAACATATAAACATGTGTGATGAGCTCTTATCCTATTTTTTAGTTTTAAAGAAAATGCAACTTCATTAAGTAATAGTAGCGGGTATTATGAAAACTTTATGTAAGTTCCAATTAATTTTTACATAAGTCATGTAAATGAGTGATATAATAAAACATTTGCCAAACTTAAGCTGAAAAAAAATGCAGCTATAAAGACTTACACAAAATTAAGACATAATAAACATTTAATTTCAACTTTTCAGTTATTTAGCAACTGCCCATTGAAGATATATGTAAGATTCTATGAATACACGTTTATAATAATCATGTTTACTAAAACTTACCGTACATAATGACTGAAGTCAATAAATTCTAGTGCTTTTCGAATGAGGCGTGGAGACATTTCCAAAACTGTCCGAGATCGTATATGGGGCACTGCTGGAAAGCAAACACAGGCTTCCAGAAGTAAATAGCTAAACAGCCATTGTATCTTCTGGTTGAAAACAATGCTTTCTGTTAAGTAACAACCCTGTGCTTTTGTTAGGATTTTACTAAAATACACTTATGAATTATATTTTATAGTTAGCATCTGTTTGGTATAAGTTTATCTATAGCTAAATGAATGAGGTAAAAAAATGAATACGCACCATTAGAATACTAACAAATTCTTTTCTAATTACCGTTAAATAAATGAGAGAAAAACAGACTCTTACTTCAAATTTCAAAGTTTCATTGTAAGCAAGTTAAATGATTGAAAATTTAAAGAGCTTGAGAAATGTCTGAAAGTCATGCTAAGCACAATGGGAGACAAAACTTAAATGTACTTAAGACAAAGTATTGTACCTTCCACTGGATTAAGTAATATATAAAGTAAACACACTGAACAGCAAAGGAACGTTTACTCCATGCACCCACTGGGAGCCAAAAGAACAGATTTAATAAAGAATTTAAGTCTTTGAATGATAGTTATCTTTTGACATTTTCAGAACACTGTGTCTTTAAAATAAAAAGAAAGCATAGTTTACATGCAAAACAGAACAAAACAAAAAAATTCTACAACACTTAAAGGATTCAACACAATACTTTAAAATAAAACTATTAGGTTCTTTGATTATTATTTTAAAAATCCAAACTTTAACACTTTTACATTCTTCAAACAAGATTTCCACCCTTCTATAGTCAGTATCCATTTCCTGCAGAAGCTCTGGGCAGCCTTTAGTCTACATTGGTGAATCTCGCTTTGTTTTCATGGATATCTCCTATAAGCAGGAATGGGTTGGATCACATGGTAAAATTAGTAATCCTCTTAAGGGACTTTCAAACCACAGTAGGTTTGCCTGTCTTTCTTTCTCTCTTTCTTCCTTCCTTCCTTCTTTATTTCTTTCGATGTGTCATCATGCACACCATGGTATGCAAGGGGAGGTCAGAGGACAACTTTTGCAAGTTGGTTTTCACCTTTCACCTTCTTGAGGCAGAGTTTCTGTTCTTTCTGATGCTGTACAACATACTCAAGACCAGCTGGCCAATGAATGTCCACCCTCTTCTCCTATTTCCACCCACATCCTCTAGGATTACAGATGCATGGCACCACATCTGACTTCCTACTGTGGGAGTGAACTCAGGTTGTCAGGCTTATGCAGCAAGCAGGTACTTTATCCCACTAACCCAACTCCAGCCCTCTCCCCAAAGTGATTGTAATGAATAACATGATAAAGGTTGAAATTACAAAGAAAAAAGTCTTTTCATTTCATTGTCTCTGTTTTCAATTCTTATTTCCAAGAGTTGTTTTGGATTCACAGCAATATTGGAAGTATTCTGCTTAACCCTTTACAAATACATACCCCTCTCCCCGCATTTTCAATATCTCCCAATTACCATCAGCTCCCAGACACCACCTTTACTTTAGGGTTTCCTTTAACTCTTTTTTTTAATGCAAATTTTATTTATTTATTTTTATTTTTTATTAGTGACAGTTTTTTCACTTTGTATCCCAGCTCTAGCCCCCTCCATTATTCCCTCCCAATTCACACTTCCTCCCTCATCTCCTGCCATTCCCTTCCCCTAGTCCACTGATAGGGGAGATCTCCTTTAAGTCTTATATACTGTATGATTTGGATAACTGTATAGAGTCATGTGTTGACATGTCTTTGAGAACACATTCTCTGACTCAGAAAGACCCCAGTCCCTGCTATTTTTTTCTCCCATACATAGCCCACTTAATTATTGGTCTTATTGATACATTTTCCAGAAGGTAACAGTGTCATAACTGTACAGTATCAAGTCTTTCCTGATTGCTCCCTTTACTTGCTTTTTCATACTCCATGTTCATTTATCAAATAAGACAAAGCTCATATGGATACTGATCCTAATATTACTGAACAGAAGAAAGTCAAAAGAAGCAGCCTTAAAATCTGGAATAAGATAAATATTTTCACTTTCATAAACATAATCTGGGAGGCCTTAGCAGAGCAAATAGGCAAGAAGAAGAATAACAAATCTTATTGAAATAGAATAAACTATGTCATCACTCTTTACAGATGAAATGTGCCTATATAGAAAACTGTTGAGGTAGTAAATTAGGAAACAATACCTTTACCCTTATGCACAGAACTGTGAAATACTGTATAAATTGCTTGGTTATCATAGGACTGGGTTTCCGATCGACAGGTTGAGTTTGGCCCAGCCTCTCTGCTTTCTTGTTCTTCATTTTGTTTATGTGACATATTCTATTTAATAATCTTTTGAACTATAGTTACATCCTTGGTTTGAATCCTACTTGGTCATAGTAAATAATATTTTAATGTGCTGTTGTATTTGGTTTGTCAGTTTTTAAAAATTTTATTTATTTAATCACTTTACAGCCAGATTCCAGCTCCCTCTCTCCTCCCAGTCCCCATTTCAAACTACCCTCCCCTCTTCCCCACCTCTCGTTCCTTCTCAGGGAAGGGTAGGCTCTCCAAGGAGTATCAATCCACCCTGACACTTCAAGTCACTACAGAACTAAGTACATCTTCTTCCACTGAGGCCAGACAAGGCAGCCCAGCTAGGGAAAAGGGATCCATAGGCAAGCAACAGAGTCACAGATAGCCCCTACTCCCATTGTTAGGGAACTCACATGATGACCATACTGCACATCTGTTACACATGTGTAGAGAGTCTAGGTCTGGCCATGTAAGCTCTTTGGCTGTTGGTTCAGTCTCTGTGAGGCCCATGGGCCCAGCTTCATTTGCTCTGTAGGTCTTTGTGTGGTGTCCTTGACCTCTCCAACTCTCTAAATCCTTCCCCCCACTCTTCCATAAGACTCCCCAAGCTTGGTCTATTGTTTGGCTTTGGGTCTCTGCATCTGTTTGTATCAGCTGCTGGATGAAGCCTTTCAGAAGACAGTTATACTAGGCTCCTATAGCAGAGCATCATTAACAGTGTCAGAGGTTGTCTCTCTCCTATAGGATGGGTCTCATGTTGGGCCAGTCATTGCTTTGCCATTTCCTCAATCTCTGCTCCATCTATATCCCTACACTCCTTGAAGGCAAGACAAATCTTGGGAGGAAGGTTTTATGGATGGGTTGGTGTTTGTCCTCCCTCCACTGGAAGTTCCACCTGGCTACAAAAGGTGGTGACTTCAGTCTCCATATCCCCCACTGTTGTGTATCTCAGCTAGGATCATCCCTATGGACTCCCTCACCAATTTTTATTCTGTCTTCTGGTCACACCAACCCACCTCTCTCCCCACACCAGATCCCACCCCAGTAAGTTACCATTCCCACTTTGTCTCCCACACAGTTCCCTCCTTCCATCTACTTCAGACTTCTATTTTATTTCCTCTTCTGTGTGAGATTCAAGCATCTTCCTTTTGTGCCCTCCTTCGCTTCTTTGTGTCTGTGGGTTGTAGCATGGTTATCCTGTACATTATGGCTAATGTATAATATATAAGTGAGGACATACCATGCATGTCTTTCTGGGTCAGGGTTACCTCGCTCAGGATGACATTTTCCAGTTCCATCCATTTGCCTACAAATTTCATTATTTTGTTTTTAATAGCTGAGTAGTATTCAGTAGACATACCAGTTTCTTTATCCTTTCTTTGGTTGAGGGAGATCTAGTTTGTTTCCAGATACTGGCTATTACAAATAAAGCTGCTATCAACATAGTTGAGAAAGTGTCCTTGTGGTATGGTGGAGCATCTTTTATATATATACCCAGGAGTAGTATTAGCTAGGTCCTGAGGTAGAGCGATTCCCAATTTTCTGAGAAACCACCAGATTGATTTCCAAAGTGGTTGTACAAGTTTGCACTCCCACCAGCAATGGAGGAAAGTTCCCCTTTCTCCACATCCTCACCAGCATATGCTGTCACTTCAATTTTTGATCTTGGACATTCTAAGGAGTTGAAGATAGAATTTCAAAGTTGTTTTGATTTGCATTTCCCTGATGACTAAGAACACTGAAGATTTCCTTAAGTGTTTCTTGGCCATTGGATATTCTTCTGTTGAAAATTCTCTGTTTAGTTCTGAACCTCATTTTTAATTTTGCTTTTTTGGTTTTCTGGTATTTAATTTCTTGAGTTCTTTATATAGTTTTGATATTAGCCTTTTGTTGGATGTAGGGTTGGTGAAGATCTTTTCCCAATCTGTATGCTGTCATTTTGTCCTACTGACAGTGTCCTTTGCCTTACAGAAGCTTTTCAGTTTCATAAGGTCCCATCTTTTAATTGTTGGTCTTAGAGCCTGAGCTGTTGGTACTCTGTTTAAGAAGTTGTCTCTTATGCTAATGAGTTCAAGGCTATCCCCTACTTTCTCTTCTAATAGATTAGTGTATCTGGTTTTATGTTGAGGCCTTTGATCCACTTAGACTTGAGTTTTGTGCAGGGTGATAACTATGAATGTATTTGCATTATTTTATATGCACACATCCAGTTAGACCAGCATCATTTGTTGAATATGTTTTCTTTTCTACTGTATGCTTTTGGCTTCTTTGTTGAAAATGAAGTGCTCATAGAAGTGTGGGTTTATTTCTGGGTCTTCAGTTCCATTCCATTGATCAACCTGTCTGTTTCTTTTTTGTTGTTGCTGTTGTTTTCTGTTTGTTTGTTTGTTTGGGGGGTTATTGTTTATTTGTTTGTTTGACTTTTTCAAGACAGGGTCTGGGTAGCCTTGGCTGTTCTGGACTTATAGATCAGGCTGTCTTCAAATTCACAGAGATCATGCCTCTGCCTCCCAAGTGCTGGGGTTGCAGGAGTGCACCACAGCACCTGGCTTAACCTGTCCATTTCTGTGCTAATACCAGGCATTTTTTTTTATTACTATTGCTCTGAAGTATAGCTTGAAATCAGAGATGGTGATACCTCCAGTTCTTTTATTGTACAAAATTGTTTTAGCTATCCTGGGTCTTTTATTTTTCCATGTGAAATTGAGGGTTGCTCTTTCAAGGTCTGTAAAGATTGGTGTTGGAATTTTGATGGAAATTGCATTGAATCTGTAGATTGCTTTAGTAAGATGGCCATTTTTACTATGTTAATTCTACTGATCCATGAGATCCTTCCATCTTCTGATATTTTCTTTGACTTATTTCTTCAAGGACTTGAAGTTCTTGTCATACAAGAACACTTGCTTGGTTAGAGTTACACAAATAATATAAAATATAAAGATATTTTATAGCATAAAATATAAAGAGACTTTATATTATTTGTTGCTATCGTAAAGGGTGTTTTCCCTAATTTCTTTCTCAGCCCGTTTACTGCTTGTATAAAGGAGGGATACCAATTTGTTTTTTTTTTTTTTTTTAGTTAATAAACACTTTGCTGAAGGTGTTTATCAGCCCTAAAAGACTGATTCACCTCTCTGGCCCCTCAGGTTTTGTTGAGAACTTTTTTCATCTAATTTCATCAAGGATATTGTCTGGTAGTTTTCTGTTTTTATTGTTGTACCTGTCTGATTTGAGACAAGTGTAATGCTAGCTTCACAGAATGAGTGTTAAAGTCTTAAGAACTCATGTTGCTTGACACATATCTTATTGATTCAAGGTAATGCAGGTGCTACCTTGTCCTGAGATTTTCTCTGATGGAGAATTTATTACCGATTCAGCCGTGTAGTTGGTCTGTTTGGGTTTTCTATTTCTTCATCATGGATCACCTAAATTTTAATTTATTATTTATTATTCTGTGTGTTTGTGAGTGTGTGTGTGTGTTTCTGTATGTACAAGAAAGCACACTGAAGCCAAAGTTCAAGAGGTGTCTTCCTCTATGGTTGGCCGCTTACTTTTTGAGATATGGTCTCTCATTGAACTTGGAGCTCACTGTTTCACTAAACTAAACTGGCCAGCAAACTGGGCACCCACATGTTTCTAAGCTGGCAAGCACTAGAGATGCAGATCTGAATTCCTGTTTCCATAGCAGGCACATTATCTGCTGAGCCAATTCCTAACCCTTCATCATCAAAGGGTCCTATACGCTGTGTGTCCAGGACCTTGCCCATCTATTTCAGGTCACTGCAAGCATATAATTGCTCATACCAATCTCCAATAGCACCTTTTTATTTCCCTACTGTTAATTTTAGTGTCTTCCTTTCCACCTCCTATTTTTACTTATTTCAGTCTATCCTCCTCCTTTTAAAGGTTAGTATAGCTACTCATTTGTATTTTGATTTTTAGACTTATTTCATTTGTTTCTGCTCTGGTTTTTATGTCTTTCCTTCTAAATTTGCATTAGCTCTGTTCTCAGTTCTCTATTTCTGAGAACTGTGGTAGGTAGTGAGGTCACTTTTTGAAGGAGATGTTCATCCCCACAGACTTCCTCTGAGCACTGCCTTGGTTATGTCTTGATTTTTTGATTTGCTGCTATTTTCATTTGTGTGGCAACAGTTTTTACAATACACATTTGTATTTGATACTATTTACAACAGATCAGTATTCATGCAAACAGGCTATAAAACTTTTATATACATATAAAAATATATATCTCCTGATGTATATATATATATATGTATATATATACATATATATACACATATGTATATTCTGTTACTGGGCCACCATTTGTACTCTTATTGGCATGCTGTTTATATGTCAGGGCCACCAAAAAAATTTCCAATTACTCTTCTCAATGAATTAAAAAATTCAGATTCAGAAATATAATTGTAATTTCTTCAAACATCTATCTATATAATGACATTTTCATGTGGATCTGAATTAGTTTCTGAGTTCATTTCCTCTTAATCCAGAAGGTTTTCTTTGACACTTTCTTTAAGCCATCTACTCTAGACTCACATCCATCTGTGTTTGTCTTCAGTACCTATTTTTCCATAATCATCTCCACCCTCTCTTTTGCTTTTTTTTTAGTACTGAAAATTGAACTTAGAACCTTGAATGGGCTAGGCAAATGCTCTAACACTTAGCTACATCCTTACTCCTATTTTGGCTAAAATTTGTAAGGATGGATTTTACCAGATAAAGAATTCTTAGTCAATAGTATTTTCTTTTCTTTCCAGCATTTGCTGTAGGCTTCACAAGGCAATGAGAGAAATCTAGGTTGATATGCTAGGGAGCCATGCTGTGGTCCCAGGTGTGACACCACCGTCTTGTTTTATTTGGGTCTATTCTATTCTATTCTATTCTATTCTTTATTCTATTCTATATTCTATTCTATTCTATTCTATATTCTATTCTATATTCTATTCTATTCTATTCTATTTTTTATTCTATTCTATTCTATTCTTTATTCTATTCTATTCTATAGTCTATTCTATTCTATAGTCTATTCTATTCTATAGTCTATTTTATTCTATAGTCTATTCTATTCTATTCTATTCTATTCCATTCTATTCTTTATTCTATTCTATTCTATAGTCTATTCTATTCTATAGTCTATTCTATAGTCTATTCTATTCTCTTCTATTCTCTTCTATTCTATTCTATTCTATTCTATTCTATAGTCTATTCTATTCTATTCTATAGTCT